TTACTGCATTCGGTATTTTTGATACATTCTTGGGTAATTGGTTTAACATTGAACAGAGTACCTAATTACCACATATGACTTTGAAATTGAGCAGCAGCCCTATTACTACAAGTAGGCCTGAACTGTATACTGTGGAAGAGGGCACAACTCACAGGTAGTCTCCCAGACAACTCTCCTGGTGCTTGTCCACACAGATTTTATACCACAGCTGTCCATAATAGTTCTGTCAGGGAATGTGAAGGCCCCTTTTTCATTACCAACTCCATGTAGGATATAGTTTTCTGTTTTTTTCCTCCTCATAGCCCCAGCGTGGAACTCACTATATAGACCAGGCTGGCCTCAGTCCCACAGAGATCCTCCTGCCTCTCCTTCCCAAGTGCTGGAACTAAAGGCATGCCCCACCATGCCAGGCTCCATCTAGGATATGTTGTGTTGCCAGTTTATCTTAGATAGCCAAGAAAGGATATGTGCTAGGGATGTGGGACAGAGCCTATACTATACCATTTCCTATCGCCTGCCACCCTCCCACACATACATAGGAGCAGCAGCCAGGGGCCGACTGCATTCTAATTGTCATACTGCTGTGCTTCTGTGCATAATTTTGTAATATGGAGTATTTTCGATTTTAACCTTATAAAATAGAAGGCATGTTTGTCAACTAGAGATCAAACCATATTTATTTAGCATCAGTTTGATCTCTAGCTTTTGTTTCACCTTTTTTAAAATTTTATTTAATTTATTCATTTTTGGTCTTTTTGAGACAAGGTCTCCCTGTAGCCCCAGCTGACCTAGAACTCACTATGTAGATTAGGCTGGCCTTAAACTCACAGAGATCTGCTGGCTTCTGCTTCCTGAGTGCTGGGATTAAAGGCATGTGCCACCATGCCCAGCTGTTTACCTTTTTTTTTTTGAGTTTGTATGAGGCAGGGTCTCTATATGTAGCCCACAATGGATATGAACATGCCACCTCCAACCTCAGCTTCCCAGGTACTAACTGTCCTGCCGTACCATCCCCAGATTGATTTCTAACTTTAAATATTTCAAGTGGGTTGTGAGCCCCCAGTGTGTTTTAGCTGCTACATATAAGGTGAACTATTTTTATTTCTGTTTTGTTTTTTGTGCATGAATTTTGCCTGCATATATGTAAGTACACCCAATGTCATGTCCTGCAGTGCCCACAGAGGTCAGAAGAGTCAGCAGATCCCCTGAAACTAGAGTTGCAGGTGGTGGCTAGCCACCATGTGGGTGCTGGGAACAGAACCCAGGTACTCTGGAAAAGCAGTTAATGCTCTTAACCATGGGGCCATCTCTCCAGCCCCATATGCGGTATGCTTAATCGGCAAAAGCTACTTCTACTCCTGTTTTTTGAAAAAGAAATTTTTTTTCTTCATAAATTTTTTGTTGTTGTTTAAACACTTAGACAGTTGAAATCAGAGCTTGGGATGTCTTTACCTAATTAAAGCATTTATTTATCCCTTTCCTAATTTTCTTCCCTTTTTTCCTGATGTTTCTTGTGTCTCTTTAATAGACTGGGTTTTGTTTTATCTCAGACCAGACTGCCTAGTTGGAGTTCAGTCAGCATCCGTGTTCAGTCTAGCTCCCTTTGCACAGCTCCACCCAGATGCTCTGTATGCATTCATACTCAGTATGTCTAAAACTGGGCTCATCCCCAGCTCCTGCCCCGAAACCTGTTTCTCCTGTATTCTCTGTCTTCTTGAGCAGCACTAACCATACATAGGCTAAGCCAAGGCTCCTTTTTCTCTGTGCTTCATGGTTAGTCAGTCAAAGCATCCTGTTAGTTGTGCTTCCTGAATAGCTTTTTTTTTTCTCATCCTCACTACTAATACCTATTTTAAGCACTTGTTTTCTTTTCCTTTTTTTTTTTTTAAATGTGTATAAGTGTGCTGCCTGCATGTATGTGAGTACACCTATGTCATGCAGTGCCTGCGGCAGTCAGAAGAGGGCCTCGGATTCCCTGGAACTGGAGTTATGGATGGTTGTTAGCCACCATGTGGGTGCTGGGACTCGAGCCTGAGTCCTCTGTAAGAGCAGTCAGTGCTCTGAATCACTGAGCCATCTGTCCAGCCCCACACTTGTGTTTTCTTACAGCAGTTGGAATAGGCCATTTGCTTGCCTTGGTTCTTGGGTTCCTAGTCTGTCCTCCCCAAAGTTACCACCCTGATCGTCTTGCTACTTTAAACCACTAAGTTATACCTATCACTTTCTGATTCAGTCCCAAACTTCTTGTGGGTGTTTCTCTTACTTTGGTCTTCTCTAGTCCTTTGTGTTTACATGGTAGGCTCTTTCTCTATTTGTTCTTGTTCATCAGAACTCCTCTATAAGGTCATCGGCTCTATCTCATTTTCTAGGCATTCTTTATTTTCGGAGTAGTATGTATATTATAGTTTATGTCTGTCTTCCACAAGATTCTGAGCTTCCTTAAATAGGCATCTTTCTCTTTTCATCTTTGTATTCTGTCATCTGACATAAGACTTGACTTTAAAATGTTTGGATGAACCTCTAAATTGTAATCAGATATATAAAATATGTGTCTAGAACTGTGTATATATATCGTGGCTTCTTTAATCTCCTACACTGGTGAGACTAGTGGTTTTCAACAAGGGTACTCTGGTATTGGGTGGTTGTTAATCATTATTTCGTGATTGTACATTTCAAGATGTTTCCCTCCCTCATGACAAAATGCACTCAACATTTCCGAAGAGTGGGTTGTTTTCACAGAAAAAATATTTCATTTGAGAACAAGTTGCCAAATGCCAGGCATAAGTCTTTAAAAAAATGCTTGTTGCCATGAACTTTGTTTCTGGAACCATGAGATTTGAATACACTTTAATTAGACATGGTACCTAATTTTATTGTAGGCCAAAAAAGAATTTGTTACAGCACTTACCAACAATAATAGTTTTAACCACAACTTTTAGTATGTAAGAAGTAAGAGCTGTACATGTAAGAAGAAGCTGTACATACAGTGAGAAGTAAGAGCTGTACATGTAAAAATATATAGATGCCTTTGTTTTGTTACTGTTTAGTAAAAATGTTTTGTAAGCAATCAGATTTACGTTCTAAACTTGGAAATGTAGGTAGCACAAAGTGAAGCTGAAAAGAAGTTGAAGAAAGATGACAAGAAGAAAGAATTGCAGGAACTGAACGAGCTATTCAAACCTGTAGTTGCTGCACAAAAAATAAGTAAAGGTAAAATTTAAGTATCACAAGTGTTATTTTTATCAAATATAATTAATGTGTAAGACTTGATTAGTTTTGGGGGGTTTGTTCTTTGTGTTTTGATGGAAGAGTCATCTGTGTGTTTTTTAAGATAGTGTTTTACTATGTGGCCCATCGTGGCTTCACCACACACAGCTTGTTTTCCTGTTTTTTTAGTCATGTGCTTATACAGCTGTAACTAGCAGTTAGCCCACAACTAAGGTAAAATTAAGACTTGAGACAATCTACTGGTTGATTTATAATATTCAGTCTTTGGTGGGCACCAAGACAAAGCTATGGTTTTGCGAATTGTAAGTCACGTCTTTGGGGCGGTGTTCCATTTATGTTTTTCTTTTTCTCCTCCTGCCTCTCTGGGTCCATAGCCAAGGAACTGTGGAATAGCCTGTGTGTTTGTTTTCCCACATTTGTACCTGTTCTAGAAGAAGAAAAGACAAAAATAAATACAAAATGCTATTTGAAGAAATTCCTTACTAGTCACCTGTGTTATTTTCTCTCACATTAGTAAATGAAAAATACATTAACCAAAAGTACTATATTCTAGACACGCACTGCTTTATGATCTAGCAGCTTATGATCAAGGGGTTTTTTGGTTTTTTTTTTTTGGCGTTTTTGAAGGGCAAACAAGGTTTGAGTAGAGTAGCAACTCCCTCCCCCAGGAAGGGGTCCAGAAAATGGATTGCCCACCTGTGATATAAATAGTGCTTCCCATTTGACACAGGTGCAGATCCCAAATCTGTGGTATGTGCATTCTTCAAGCAAGGACAATGTACTAAAGGAGATAAATGTAAGTTCTCTCATGACCTGACTTTGGAGAGAAAATGTGAAAAACGAAGTGTTTACATTGATGCAAGAGATGAAGAGCTTGAGAAGGGTATGTTTTTGTAACTTCTAAAACTAAATACTTATTTTGGTTTCCTACTAAGATACTTAATAACATGAACATTACGGTCTTAATACTATTGTTTGTAAATAATAATTAGTTGGACTTGTTATTTTTCACAAAATCTCACTTTACTCATTACCCTTTAAATAAATGGTGCTTAAAAATAATGATTTAATTTGGATTCTGTCACTCTTTTTCTTCAGAACTACCATCATTTATCTAGACTCATTAGGAAGCTTTAGTGAATGATTTGACAGTGTTGTGTATGTCTACCTTTGGTGCTTCTGAGAATATTATGCTGCAGTATAAATCTTACAGTAGTGCATTCCTGTTTGTTTAAGAAGGTATGTGTTAAAGGAGCCGTGGGTAAAATTGTTTGTCGTATTTCTTTTTATATAGATACTATGGATAATTGGGATGAGAAAAAGCTGGAAGAAGTAGTGAACAAGAAGCACGGTGAGGCGGAAAAGAAAAAACCAAAAACTCAAATAGTATGTCCTTTTCTTGAATTGAGTTGCTGTGGCATTTATTATTAGGGAAAATTGTGTAGCAAGGTATTCATTACTGTTTTCTGCTGGATGCTTGCATTACTAGAAAATTGCATTTCACCAACATAAGCTATAATACTTCAAGCTTTAGTTTTGGAATTTAGAAGGTGTGTTTACGAAATGAGATTTTCGTTCCAAAAATGGTCTAAAAACTATGTTACTAAAGTCTCCTAAATGCAGTTTTCTGGAGGGTTTTTACTTCCTAAGGTATGAATGAGCATGTGGTGGCGTGCACCTGTAATCCCAGTAGGCAGATTACAAATTTGAGGCATGCCTGGGCTATAGATAACTAGTGTGAGGCTAGACCACAGGCTACACATCTGAACCCTGTCTCCAATAATTACATCCTCAGACAAGAAGCTTTTCTCTTGTGCATAATGATTGGAGATAGGCCTGTTAAGTGAACCTCCATAATGAAGTGTTTGATTTTAGTAGTATGGGAAATAACATTGAATTACTAGGTTAAAAATATTTTTACATATGAATTCTAAAATTGTCAGACTTTCTCAGGCTCTACATTCATGCCCGTATATTTATCTTTAGTACAGTTCCAGTGAAAGATCTTACTATGCTAGAAAAATGTTTAAATGTTGGTGTCATAAACACTTGTTTTTCCAGGAAACAGATACTGGTCACTTTTCTTCCTTTGGGAAGGGTGCTGCCTGAAGCTTTAGTCCAGTTGTACTTTGTACTTCCGCCGTGTTTGAAGGGGCATTGTTTTGGTGTTGTGTTCCTTTTGAACCTTGTACGCTGTGACTCCAGTGTACAAAGTTACCTATAGAGTCAGTAATCCAAATAGTGGCATTATAGGATTAGTTTTCAGAAAAGATCAAACCAAAGCAAAAATCTTTCTTCATTTCCTCTTTTCTTTCTTCACTGTCTTCTTTTCTTCCTTTTTTTTTCTGCAGTGCTAGGAGTTAAACGTAAGACCTGACTTACTAAAAAAAAAAAATCAGACTCTGGTATTATATTTGCAAGGGCTAACTGAAACTAATCCTAAATTACTACATCCAGAGTAGAAGCTTTAGGGAATTTGCCATTGTCCTAAAAGTTTGGTTTTGCTTGGTTGGTTCGTGGATTTTCTTAGATTTTTCTTCTTAATTTTTACTATTTTTAATTATATACAGACAGAAATATGTGCATGTGAGTGGAGGTACCCACAGAGGTCAGAAGCATTGAATTTCCTGGAGTTGGAGTTACAGCCAGTCTGAGCCACCTGACCCGGGTACAGGGAATTAAACTCTGTTCTCTGCAAAAGAGCATTACATGCTCTTACCTGCTGAGCTATCTCTCTAGCCCCTGGTTTGGTTTTTGAGACAGGGTCTCACTGTAACCCAGGGTTGCCTTAAACTCTTAACGTTTTTCCTGCCTCAGCATCCTGAGGGCTGGAATTACAAATGCCCTTGGCCACTAGGCCTGCCTTTGTATTAAGTATTTTCAAACAGTTATATGTCTTTCTACATGCAGATATGATTTGTACATAGTTAGCCTTGGAATATGACTAGAATGTTACTTGTTCCACATACTTAAGCTTATCGGTGAAATGATTACTCTGTTCCACCACTTTCTGAATAATACTGTCTCTATAGGTATGCAAACATTTCCTTGAAGCTATTGAAAATAACAAGTATGGCTGGTTTTGGGTGTGCCCTGGAGGGGGCGACAATTGCATGTATCGCCATGCACTTCCTCCTGGATTTGTGCTGAAAAAAGACAAAAAGAAAGAAGAAAAAGAGGATGAAATTTCATTAGAAGATCTAATTGAAAGAGAGGTAAGAAAATAATACTTTTTGTAAATTCTAATGTTTACCACTTGGGGGCAGTAGCATGAAAGGGAAAAATATTGTGCCCCTTTTCTAAAGTTACCTTACTTTAATTATTATTGTGTCTAAATGTAAATTTGACCATACACATTAGCCAAACATACATTAATTATAGGATTGTGTAGATTTCATGGAATTGAGTTGTTTAAAATGCTTTTTCATGACTCAGGTTGATTGACCTTTTAGTTTTAGGTCCTTTCCTTGGTTTTTTTTCTTTCTTTTAACCATTAATGTGTGTATGTGAGAGGAGACATCCTGTCTCCAGTTTTTAGTTAGATGTTTTATATTGTTGGACTTGGAATACTCTGCAGTTCAAGAGGAACAAGTCTGATTAAAGAAGTTCTTTGGCTCAACAAAATAGATAATTTTATTTTGTGAGTTAGCAGGTGTGGGTATGAGAGTAAAAGGCAGTTGTTGGTTATTGGGAGTACTAGATTTTGCATCGTTTATTTCAGTATGCTGCTAAGTGACTAATACTGAAATTTTATATGCTCCTTCTGAAATGAGCCTATTGTTTTTATGTTACACAATATAAAACATACTGTAATAGAAATGTAGACTTTAGAGTCAAGTATTTGGGGAATTGTTTATATCCTAGTTCTACATTGTCAGTTGCTCATGTTTCCTGTATTTCCTGTCAGCCTCTGTTTATTTGTGGAGATAGTGGCAGATACTGTTTTCAATACATTTATTACAACCCTGAGGAGCAGGTGATGTTTTTGTTTAGTTTTATCTCTCCTGGACAACACAAATGAAACTTGGATATTGGTACATTGATTTTTATATTTTTTTGTTTTCACCTATTCGTTCATGACAAAGCAGTTTTTCAGTTTTTCTGGTCATTCAAGTAGTTTTCCTGAGGCTGGGCATGGTGGTACAAGCCTTTAATCCTAACGCAGTTTACCTGTAACTAGTATGTTCTAAGTGTTTGTGTCTCTGAGTATTCATTTTGTTTATTGCCAAGTAAAGTCAGAATACCTTAGTTTCACCTGTATTTTAATGTCTTTAGAAGAGTCATAGGAAAGGAATTAATAACATTAAGAGAAAACTGCTATACAAACTATGAGTGACTTGAAGTCTCTCTATCTTTGCAGCGTTCTGCCTTAGGTTCAAATGTTACTAAAATCACCCTAGAATCTTTTCTTGCATGGAAGAAAAGAAAAAGACAAGAAAAGATTGACAAACTTGAACAAGATATGGAAAGAAGGAAAGCTGACTTCAAAGCAGGGAAAGCCCTGGTGGTATGTCCCAGATTGTTACAAGTGGTCCTTCATTCTTCCATCTTACAGTTTTTGATAGGCAGAATTCATCTTTATTTTAGATACATCCTTGTATATCTAAAAATGAATGACCAAGAAATGTTTTCTCTTAAGATAATACATTTCTGTTCCTAAATAGATCAGTGGTCGTGAGGTGTTTGAATTCCGTCCTGAACTGGTCAATGATGATGATGAGGAAGCAGATGATACCCGTTACATTCAGGGAGCAGGTGGTGATGAGGTAAGGGAAAGCTTTGACTTCACATCTGTAAATGGAAAAAAAGCAATAGGGGAAACAGCAGCTCGGTTAAAAGCACCAGCACTTTGTCCAGAGGCCTAGGTTCGAGTCTTAATTCCATCAATGGGAAGTTCCTTCCTCCTGACCTCCACTCTTACCTGCATTACCTGCAGTATAGACATAATGGCAGTCTTAAATCCTAGGTTGCTTGTGAGAATTGAGTAAATTAATTCATATTTACTTAGAGGGTTTTTTTAATAGAACTTAGGATAGCTCTTAGGACATATGGGCAGAAAGTACAGAAGGAAGCTGAGACAGAAAAGGCTAACCCAATTTTTACTGTGAAAACGCCCAAGTTATAGCTTGAAACAACTTGTTTGTGCTTCTGAGATCTGAGATTGCTATATGTATTAGCTATAAAAACTGGTTTATCATCTCTTTAAAATAAAGGGGATGGGTTAAAATTTTTGTTCTACCGGGCTGGAGAGATGGGTCAGTGGTTAAGAACACTGGTTGTTCTTGGAGAAGACCTGGGTTCGAATCCCAGTACCCACATGGCAGCTAACAACTTTCTGTTGGCCTTTGGAACAGAGTACGTTGCTAAGAGGCCCAAGGACATTTTGACTTTTAGCCAAGAAACTGGCTACTTTTCTTTGGTCTTTTTACCCTAATTGCTTAGCCAATTCCTACCTTCTAGTCTTTTTTTTTTCAGCTAAATTATTTAATTTTACTTTTTAAAATTATTTATTTAATAGCCACATAATTAGAAGAAGCATTTCATTACAACAGCATTGACATATTCAATAACAATTTCAAGAGCTAAGATGTATCTCTTTCAAAATTGGCTGTAAATTTTTAGGTTTACAGTTGAATTAATACAGTTATACAATATTGTACAATTAAATGAGGTTTTAAACTTTGAAAAAGATATCTATTTCATTATTAAAATACACAGTTTCATTCAGAAAAATTCATTTTTAATGCAATTGACACTAAGATGTTTGCACATGCGTTTCTAATCTCTGTCTGATTATTACTGGTCACAATCGGTTACTTTCTGAGCTCCTTGGCATCTGAGCATGGATATAAAGTCATCAGGTAGTGTTGGTAATGGTACCAATGATAATGGTAATGTTTTTCACATCTACTAATTATTAAGGAGAAAATTTTTATGCTTTGAAGAGGTTTTTTTTGTTTTGTTTTTTGTTCTACCAAAACAGTCTAGGGATAGAACTACATAAAAAGAGTAGGAAGCATGCAACAATAGCAGTTATTGGATAATTCTAATATAATAGTATAACTCTTGTCTAATTGTTATGAAGTTCCAAGTTGAAAGAATCTTCTATTCCAAAAGCACAATAGCAGAGAAGGAAACTTTAGATGGAATATTGCTGCTTCCCCTCCTCCTACTCCTCAGGAAATTGAAGGAAAAAAAATTATTTTTTTATTGGATGTGCATGTGAGTGGTGATAACCACAGAAGCCAGAGGCCTTGAATCCCCTAGAGTTGGAGTTACAACCAGTCTGAGCCACCCAACCTGGGTATAGGGAATTAAACTCTGTTCTTTGCAAAAGAGCATTATATGCTCTTACCTGCTGAGCTATCTCTCCAGCCCCTGGTTTGGTTTTTTGAGACAGGGATAGTCTCTGGGTTATTTCTTTTCCGCTTGGCATTAGTGAAAGTTTTGTTTCCTGAAGATGGATGTCAGAGTTGAAAATTGAGGAAACTTATTTATAATAACTTTGTTTTCTCTGTTTTTAAAGGTTGATGATTCTGTGGGTATAAATGACATAGATTTAAGCTTGTACATCCCAAGAGATGTGGAAGAGACGGGTATTACTGTAGCCAGTCTTGAAAGATTCAGTACATATGCTTCAGATAAAGATGGTAAGTACTGCCTTTTGCAGAATTCTAAGAACTAGGAAGCTATTTAGAGGAAGTTAAACCAGCCTTGACAAATTTAGGTGTGTGCAGGTATCAGGCCGCTAACATGAACACGTGATTTGGCTAAGTATCAGAAACTGTAGAAAACAATGACTGGGTAAATATTGAAACTATTAACTGAATTTTTTAGAAGTGGACCAAAACTAAGTTTAGACATGTAGCTAATGGTTTCATTTTCGACCTCATTAGATTTTTTCCTTATCAAAGTGTTATTCTCTAGAATTCTTTGAAACCATTTGCAGAAGAAAAGATTGAAGGTCATCTGTAGTAGTGTCAGTAACTGAGCTTAGCCTGTTAGAGTGCGTAGAATAGACCACACACACCAGTGTTATAGGACAGGCAAAATGGGAAATACTTAGAAAGCACCAAGCTTTCAGAGAAAAATGAGGAGACAAGAGTTTCAGATAAAAACAAGCAGAATAAGAATTAGGAATAAGTTATTAGTCGCAGTTAGGCAAAGAGTTCCTAGAATGGAGGTACCAGCTTCACTTGGGTATAGTCATGGGAGGGGTTTTTTAGGATGTAGAAAGCCTGAATATATGCTTACAACAAACAAAATGTGTCTAATAGAGGAGGAAAAGAAAATGAAAGGAGATTGGTTAAAGAAGCAAGATCTTTGGTTAAAGATTTATTAAGCATAAATAATAATTTAGTGTGACAGTACAGAAAAGGTTGTCTGGGGACTCTTTGGACATAAAGATTGTTGGTTTAATTTAAATCTGATTGTACCTTGAGTGAAAGGGTTTGAAGACTAAAGTTTAGGGTATTTGCTATGGGAGAAAAGGACAGAAGGAATACTAATTAAGGCAAAGGCTAAGAAAAGGCTAATGAAGCTGATTTTTACTGTGAAAACGCCCAAGTTAGAACCTTCAACAACTGGCTGTGCTCCTGAGATCTCAGATTGCTAGTAAGCTGTTGTCTCTTTGCTCCTTTAAGACATAGGGCTTTGGTGACGGTTGGTATGGAAGTTTTAATCCCCACAACTTTTTCACCAGAAATGTTTAAATTAGTTAAACTTCAAACAAGGCTATTAAAAAACGCCTTTGTATCAGTGTTGCCATTAACAAGAAAAGGCACCATATTTGTTTGTATTTTTTAATCATAAATAGTTATAAGCAAAAGGTCCATGGCACTAGGACCTTCTATGTATTCATCTGTGTTTCTAGGGATCAAACCTAAGTTCTACGTACCAGGCAGGCCTCCACTACTAAGCTACAGTCTCTGGTTCTAAGAATTTTTTTCTCATTCTCAATGCATTACAACTAGTGTGATTTTTAACTACTGTTTATTAAGCCAAAAACAAAGTATATGTGTGTATATATATATATGTTGTTTGAAAGCCAGATTTCTAAGCCATGTAAGGAACACAAAATTAATAGAGGATTTATCTTCTATAAATAAAGTAAAGTGTAAATAAAGACTTCACGTGTCTACAATTGGTACAGATAAGTTTAGAAGAAAGATCAGTCTTTGCTGTAGTAATTTCAGGAAGGATTGCATGGAAAATGACGAAAGGTATTAGTCTGCTCTCAGTTGCCAATGGAGTGTTGTGCTTTTTGTTTCTAGGTCTTAATGATTTCAATTTTTATTTTTAGAAAACAAATTAAGTGAAGCTTCTGGAGGTCAGGCCGAAAATGGTGAAAGAAGTGATTTGGAAGAGGAAAATGGAGGTGGGGGGCAGGAAAATGGGTCCATCGATGCTGTTCCTGTTGATGAAAATCTGTTTACTGGGGAAGATCTGGATGAACTAGAAGAAGAATTAAACACACTTGATTTAGAAGAATGACACCAAGTACATCAGAGAAACTCATGTGTTGAAACTGACTAATGATTTTTCCACCTAGCATCACCAGGATGTTTGTTTTCGTGCTGATTCTGGAGGGATTACTCTCCTCCAAAACAGAAATATTCTCCCCACGTCTTCTCTTCTGACTTTGATTACATCTCAGTAAGTTCAGAGTAGTTCATGATCAGTTAAAAGTGGTCATTTCAGAAAATGATTGATGTTGTGACTGTTCACTCAAGTAGGAAATATAACTGCTTTTCCAGCTTTTCATTCTCATTGGGCATGTGTTACTACCAGGAACAACAAATTCATATTATCATTTGATGCAGTTTTGAGTGATTTCCTTTGTATTTATGTTTTAAAGACTGCCTAAAGGTGAGCACTGTACTTGATAAATGAAACTGCATATGCAGATCCAGTATTGTATATCTTTCGACAATTAGATGGATACTGAAAATGAGACTTCGTTAATCTGACAGGATCAGCTACAATGCCCTGTATTAATTAAGCTGTTTAAAAGTTCTCCCTTTTTTTGCCAATAAAGTTGTAAATAAAGTCCATCATACATTAAAATCCAACTATGGGCCCTTTTTTTTTCCAGGTTTTTCTATGAAAATTTTCTTAACATTTCCAGCTTGAGGGTTTTAACTAAATATTGGTTATGGGTATTACATAAGGTTAAGACACTATATTTTCTTGATACATATTCCAGAACCAAATACAGTACTGACAGTACTAAAGATACTAAGTGCTTTTATATGAAAGGGTAATTCCAGGGTTGTTAGGTCATCAGCCTTCAGTTGAACCAAGTACAACTTTGGAAACACTGTGGAAATCCTTAATGTCATAAAGTTTGGTTACTCTGTTTGCAAATGTCTAAACAAATTCACCAGAAAACTTTGGGCTGAGGTTTTGGCCATTGATATTCCTTAAAAATTTAGAGTGATAATTATTTTAAATATAACTTTTAATGACATGCTTGTATTAGATAACTTTGCCATTGTTTTGGGTTTTGCTGAAGTTTTTTCCCTTAAATACCTCTGTGCTTTTATCTACAAATACAGATTTTTAGAATGATTTTTTTTTTAAACACTAAAATGTCAGTCACCCAGACCCTACACTCTTTTATGTCTTAAGTAAATTATATGCAAGTTTCTGAAATTTTAATTTTTTTAGTTAAGACTCATCTTGGAGCTGGGCATAGTGACAGATGCTTTTAGTCCCAGCACTTGGAAGGCAGAGGCAGGCAGATCTTCGTGAGTTCGAAGCCAGCCTGCTCTATGGTCTATATAGCAAGTTCCAGGCCAGCTGGGACTACAGGGAAACCCTGTCACAAAAAGACCAAAAAAACAAAGACTCCTCTTGGGGCTAGAATGTAGCTCATTGGAAGAGTGCCTGACATGTAAAAGACCCTAGCTTAATCCCACCACTTAAACATGATCTCTAATATGATTTTGAAATGTAAAACCTAAAAAAAAAAAAATTTAAAAAAAAAAAGATTTTATAGCTTGTTAAATGATAGCATTAAATTTACAAAGAAACTTGCTTTCAAAATAGTCTAAAGAGCTAACATCTTTTTGTATTTGCATTACAGTCATTCTTCATTAGTGCAATTAATCTGCAATCGAGTATAGTTTTTCAAACACATCTAAACTAGTTAAGTAGTTTTTCTTCTAAATCTCTCATATACTTTCCACTGCTAATGAGCCTCTAATTTCAGTGATGTTAACATACTGGGTTTCATCAGACCACACTTGTCCTATACTCATTGAGCCTATAATGATCCCATGCTTATCAAAGTCTTAATTCAAACTACACTGTGAATTTTACCTTTTCTTTGCATAATAGCTTGTCAGATTCCATAAGCTCTACAATACATGAACTGCTAAAAATTGTATAATTTTGCAGTATATTTTTATGTTGACTTTGTCACCTCTGACCATTAACTGACTTAGAATGCAATAGTAATGAAACTGCAGGTTCAGAAGTCTCAGTGCCAAAGTTCATTAAGAAACCATGCAACCATCCCTGAGCTTTTGAAAACTGTTTTATTATTTTTACATTATGTGTATGAGTGTATTGTCTGCATGTATGTAAGTGCACCCGTATTGTGCATTGCCCACAGAAGAGGGCCCTGGAACTGGAGTTACAGACAGTTGTTAGCTGCCATGTGGATGCTGGGATTTGAACCTGGGTCTTTTGCAAGAACAGCCAGTGCTCTTAGCCACTGAGCCATCTCTCCAGCCCCATCCACAAGTTTTAACAGAATGGACAAAGGGAGTTTGCAACAGAAGTGTGTGCAGATAGCTGGTGGTATTGTGAGTCCTATTCAGGATAAAGCTTTGTATAAAAAACCTGCAGATTGCTGATCTTCATTCCACATGTTCGGTATAGGACTGGTTTTGATACAAATACTGTTAGGTAAATGTTTCCAAGTACTCAGCTCACTGTTCATATTATACAAACTCAAATACATGCTTCAGTGAATGAATTTCAAGAAACACTAGCTATATGGATGGACTGTCAGTCTTCCCTTTTTGGTTTTTTAATCCTTCTATGTATATTGTAGATTCTGATGATAGCAGTGGTGACTGAATAAAGATAATTCTTAGTAGATATTGATAGAAGCTAAATTTTAATTAAACTAGAATTTGGCAATACTAATATACCTTGCAAATTTTCCTATATTTCAGAAATAAAGGCTGAACAAAACATTAGTACAGAATGCATTTTAATATTCCCCTTTTATGATTATATTTTCCCTCATTTTATTGCTTTTTGTTGTGGAGGAAAAAATATTTTTGTTTCTTCGATTAATGGGTAATTTTGTGTTTTTCACACAGGTTGGTAGCATGAACTGTCTAGCCTAATTTAAGACATTTCTCCCTTTTTTCAAATGTGTATTTAGAGGAGGAATATCAGAAATATATATGTAGAAGCATATCTAATGGCCTAGCCATTAATGTGGGTAGCTTTTTAGTCTGAGATCAAACTTTTAAGTGACTTTTTGTTCCATTTTATTTTTTGAAAACAAGATGCTATGTAACCCAGGGTGGCCTCAAATTTCCTATGTAGCCAAGGATGACCTTGAACTCATGATCCACCTTCCAAGCACTGGAATTTACAGCAGTGTACCACATGCCCAGCTTTTCAGTGATCTCTATTATTATTTAGATTACCTTTAGGATTTGTTGTTTTAGGGATTTTTCAGGGGTTGGTGAAGATATCCTTTGTGAAAATACTGTGATGGACACCTATCAGGCAAAGGTGTTTATTTTGTGATTGGTCCCCAGTGACATAATTTTCAGTAATTGCTGATTCATTTTCAAACATGTTTCCAGTATCAGCAGGTCCTTATGGGACCTAATGCCAGGATTTAGTGTGCCTTAGTCTCATCTTGTAAGCCTTGTAGTATATATAATTCAGAAAGTGATGAAGGCTGGGAGTACAGCTCAGTGCTTGAGTGCTTGCCTAGCATGCACAAGGCCCTGGGTTCAACCTAACCGTGGAGGGTTCTGGGAAAGACAATGAATAAACTTTTTATTTTAACCAACTAACCTTTATATTACATCTTATTTTCAGAGAACCAAATGTAAATTTTCTTCTAAATGTGCAGCTGGGTTTCATTCAGTCTGTGAATCCTGATTAAAATTTTATCTGTCTGAGGAAACTATCTCAGTGATGGAGGTCATGGGTATGACTTTTAATACTGTATATTTTAAGAATTTTATGCTTTACCATATTTAATTGGTAGTTATTTTAAGTAAAATTATTTATAACTACAGCATGTATAGAAATGTATCAAAAGATGTATAATTGGAAATATTTAACTGAAACTTCTCAAGATACAACATATGATAAGCTGTGCTCCTTTCAGATTTGTGCATTGCTTATATGTTGTACATACTTAACCAGAAGAATTAGGTGTAGAAGTAGAGTTTTGGGGAATGTTCCTTGCATCTTCACACTACTGGATAAATAATGAAAGTAAAAACATTAGTAACTAAGTCTGCTTTGGGTCATTAATTTTGTAACTTAACATTTGATCAAAAAAAAAAACTCCTCTTCAGTTAATTATGGAGAAAGGTTGTGTCTAGCCTGTGTAGAAGTTAATTGGCCACATTGGATCACTTCATTGACTTGAGTTTGATATGCTAAGAACTATTAGGTATTCTTATGCCTCGTGCACTGCTTCTTCACAATAGTGGGAAAGGGGTATTTTTAATATTTTTTCTTAACATTTTCATTGACAAATAGTATAATAGTTATGTACATATATATGACTCATTAAGTTTTTAATACAATAAAGTTCATTAACTTTTTTATGCTCTAAACCCACTTCTACTTGGAGGAAAATTAATCCTTGATGGTTTCAGCCTCTTGTGATAAAAATATAAAAATGAAAAAATAATAGTTTGAGCTGATTATGGCCAGTTTTTTAGTTATTTAATGTTTTGTTTTGTTTTCTCCCAGAGCAGTTTTCTAACTGAAAGGACAAAGCATCACCTATCGAATGCAGCCTTCTGAAGCTGGGTCTGGTGGCTCACACCTGTAACCCTAGAACTTGGGAGGCTGAGGCAGGAGGAGCATGAGCCTTAGGCTACCCTGGAGTACTTAGCAAGACCTTTGTCTCGCAAAAATAATTTTGAAAATAAAATGGAAAAATTAATAAAATGCAGGCTCAAGCACACTTAGATATTATATACAGGAGAACACAAGCATCTTTTGATACCCTCTTTACCTCTGTTCTCTCCTAGAAAGGTTGTTTGGAAGAAAAGAATTTTTGATTATTTTTATGCATTCAGTTGCCTAAACATTAGGAATAACACCTAAGATTATTATTTAATTGGTAAATTTATTACAGAGATACTTTCTGATTATTAACAACTGTGAAAACAGCTGGGCATGGTGGCACATGTTTTTAATCCCAGCAGAGGCAGGCTGGGAGGCACAGGCAGGCAGGCAGATATCTGAAATAGAAGCTAACCTGGTTTGCATAGTGAGTTCCAGGCCAGCTGGGGCTTCAGGTAGACCCTGTCTCAAAAAGACAAAAAAAAAAAAAGCCAACTGTAAACTGAAGACTGAAGGGTGAAAGTTGATACTTAAAAAAGGCTGACTTAGTCACTCCAAATAATAGAAGTGTTATTAACACAGATAAATTGTTGGTAAGATGGACACACATGAGCTAGCATTTCATGTTTACAGGGGACACGTTCACCAACATGCCAGTATTCATACCTCTGTGTCCATGTTCAGCATGGTATTGTAGAAAATTAATTCCTAAAATTACAGGGATGCCAAGCAAATGTTTAGGATAAGTTCACTTGATAATAATCCACTTCCTTTCATCTGGGTAAGAACATAAATATTTACTTTCTGCTCTACATGTGAGTCATGAACCTACAAAGACAAGAAAGGCAGAAAATTTTTAAGTTTTTCTAAAGCTGAATCTGATTTTTTTTAAATCTTGATTAATATTGAATAAGCATGTTGAATTCCATCTGATAAATTCTCTTAAATATATTGTGAAAAATAATGTTCTAAAGGAAACACAGTTTTCTTCCTAATGAGTTAACTG